AATCCAGTCTAGGTGGAAAAATAATTGGCAGCTGGGAAGATTATGGAAAGATGGTCATAAAATATAAATTGAGAAATTTAAGAATGTCAGTTAACAGGTATTTGTTTAAAAAGCAATTGATCTGGGATAGAGAGAAATACAGCGAGAAAGATAAATTAGTGATTAATGATAACGAAAAGTTAATGGTGGGAACACAAATGAAGTCATGGGATTAAAAACTGAGAAAGGATGTCAAAAGCTAAGCTAGCTTTTAAAGAGATTTGCCACTTGATAGAATAATTATTAGTTATAATATTGATTCCTTGCTCTTGATATTTTAATGAAAAATAAAAACATGAATATAGATAAATACATATTTACAAGAGACACATTTAAAGTGTATTTGAACTGTGTTCTCATGTGGGTGGCTTCTAAATTACTGTAGCTGGCTTGTGTTGCATTATCAAATATGTTTCTCAGCAAATCAATTAGCAGTGTGGCAAATTTTTACCTGAGGTGTGATAATTACAAGAAGTTTAAATTCTGGGGGTTCAGAGGATGATAGAAGACCACAGATCACTTATCTAGCCGTCTCTAAGACCCCTAGATATGTCATTTCTAAAATCTTGTTTGTTATAATAGACAGAAGTCCAAGACTTCTGAATTGTTCTTCTTATATTTTATTAGTTGATTCATAGGCAACAATGTTCTACTTCATTCTGTGATGTGCTCACATTAATAGAGGATTGCATATTACTTTTATTATATAACATCCTTTAAGAGCCTGAACACCCCACTAGCATTTCATGGCTCCTCCAAAATTTTGTTTATAAAGAATGGCTCCAATTCTTGAATTATGAGATAATTAGTTTTGCAGACTAAGCGATGTGTTGTACAAGTAGTAACTCATATGTCAGAAATTGTGCCTTTTTACTGTCAAAGAAACAGTATCTATTTTAAAAATTATTTTTTAGTTTCAGTATCTATATACAGTAATGCTATCTTAAAAATAACAAAATAGAGTTCATGTATAATTTCTGATATTTCCCCAATAACTCTAAAGCAGCGGTTCTCAACCTGTGGGTCAGGACCCCATTTGGGGTCGAACGACCATTTCATGGGGGTCGCCAAACAAAGCAGTCCGCCATTTTTCCCCCTTTTCCTTTTGAATAGAGTCTAATTCTATTGGCTTTCAAAAGCCAACAGGAATTGTCCAGGCTGTCTCTGCCCTGCTGAGCCCGCCAAAAGTCCCATTCTGCAAACGGTGCTACAAGTTGTCTGCAGTGAAGGCGAGCTGTCTGGAAGTTTCCACCCCTCCCTGCTGAGCAATTACTAAAAATGTAAGTAAAAGAGGGCCAGGGGTGGGAGGTGGGAGGCCAGCGGGCGCAGGGAGGGTTGCTGGCGTGTGTGGGGCCCGGCGGGTGCCTTACCTCCCTTGGGCTGGGCCAGCTGGTGGCCCAGCCGGTGGTCGGCCTGTGCCGTCTCTGCCGCTTGCCAGCTACGCCTCGGCCAGCGCAGGGGGTGGCACCATGCATGCGTGGCGCTCCCAGGCAGGGAAAGTCCTCGACTTACGACCTGTTGGGTAGTCCTCGACTTACGACCGGTTGGGTAGTCCTCGACTTACAACCGGTTGGGGGTCGTGGCATTAAAAAGGTTGAGAACCACTGCTCTAAAGGCATATAAGATCAGTCCCTAGGAATACCTTCAATATTATTCTGGTTTAACTTGGATTAGCAATCAGCGTTGTTTAGGACATCATGAGAGTATTTCTAAGAAGTTATGCATTAATACAATGCATACAGATACGAAAACAGTACATCCAAAAGCATGGTTTATTTGAAGAGTCTCATCAAAGGGGGGGGGGAAGAGCATAGGCTCTTTAAAATGTTACCTTGAAGCACTGGAAATCAACTAAGTTTAAAATGTATGATCAGAAATCTCAACTTGAAAATAAGTTTTCAGAACTGCTGAATGGCACTGGTTTTTTTTAAAAAAAATGAAGTAATAAATCAAGTATCCAAACAACAATAACACATAATGGATCAAATTCAGAGATATCAGTGCAATTTTTGTATATTCTCAAAAGAATTCTACACATTAGACAATGGAGGCACATGAGTGGCTGTACTTAGCCAATCTTAGCTCAGCTAAAAAAATAAATAGGAGTGGCTCCTGTGATGATGTGGATGGAGAAAGTATTTGGGAATCATAGAAAGTAAAAAAAAAAAAACTATCCTGCAGGAACAGAATTAAAAACTAATTTTACATTATTCAAGAACATGGCATGGACAAAACCATGTAAATCATCAGAACTGAGCTTCACTTTATTTTATTTGAGAACTTTATTTTAGTTGTGTGTTATAAATGTAAACCCTTGTACACAGCATGATCACCAAGTCTTTAACAAACAAATCTAGGTAGAAAACTAACTGAAATGAGTAAAGAATTGAAGAATTACAGGACAACAAGTCATGACTGTGAATTTTATTACAAAGAACATTAGGCTCGTATCCCTTCAACCTATTTAGCCCATCAAGAGAAAGAGAGAGAGAGAGAGAGAGAGAGAGAGAGAGAGAGAGAGAGAGAGAGAGAGAGAGAGAGAGAGAAAGGATTTATTCATCAACATTTTAGCTAAACTCTTTTTCCTCTTTTCCACCAAACTAGTCTGGAGTCATTGCCCATAGAAATGAGCAAGGCTCAATTATTTATCAATCTCTTTTTTAAAAAGTTTATAGTATGTTACCCTCGATATTAGGAAGCTTTTGATTGGTCCTTGTATTAAATGTTTACTTTCTTAATACATTTTTAACATTTGTTTTTCATTTAATTTCTCAACAGTACTTCCAATCTAGTGCCTTAGTTAAAGCAAATGTGATATAATCAGTTAATTTTAAACTAGACAGAGGCACCAGAAATGTTCATTATCCTCAGGCTATTAGCTGTAATAATCGAAATCTGGGCAATAATAGAAGTAACCCCCAAATTTAAGCCATTACATTATATGAAAATATACATGCTATAAATATATTTGATGCTAATGCTCTGTTGAGCTTTCACTATCCAGAAATTATGATACCTGAAATCAAAAAGAAGTTTTAAAACAATGATGTTTAACATTGAGGCAAAGTGGAATAAACCATGTCATTAATCATCCAACTTCAATCATTCAGACAAATATTGACAATATAAAAACAGGGCAGAAGAATCTCACTGCATATTAAAGATTTATTTGAAAAGGGGAGAAGCACAGAAATAAATAAGACTTATTTAAGACTTAGATGGAAGTAGAATCACTGCCATCCAAAAAAAAATAAATTCCCATTCAAACATTATAAACTATGAATCAATAGTTCAGCTTTAAATGCCTTTAACAGAAGTTGATTTCCTGTATGCACAATTAAAAAATAATCCAGAAGGTATTATTTCAAGAGTCTATAACCTATTATTAATAATACAGGTACAGAAAACAGATTTTGGACAGATATATCTGAAGATAATTGGAATATTGTGTGAAAAAGCACTAAAAATAGCATCCCCCTGCTTCAAAGAATGTGCAGATGACACAATACTCCTATTAAATTTAATTACAATAATCCAAAAGTTTTGTTGCTTTGATGGAGAGGCTGCAGTGAAACAGCATCTTCACAGGTGGTAAGCACATGATGCAGTTAATCTAGTTGTATGAGGGGAATTGTGTTAGTTCAAAAGTTGTAGCTTATGCCCTTATTCAATATCAGTGCAGCTTATTCTAAACATTTTGCTGAAGTGCATACTATAACAACAAAGACATTTTAGAAATTACCAAGCATAGGAAAACAAATGTAGAATTTTACATAACTGACTGAACAAATTATGCCACTTATTACAGAAAACACCCACCAAAAAGCACATTCCAAGGACAGCCATTAAAAACATTGTATTTATTGTGACATGTTTCCTGTTCTCTTGTGGCTTATAAAGATAAAACACAGCCATGCTTCACAGCAACAACCATATTTACTCTGGAAGGATTTCATATGTAGTTGATACATGATTTCTAAAAGGTATGAATTAGTATATTGGTGTGATAGAAACAAGGGTGGTTTGCAAGAATAGAAAGATGGAGAGAATTATAGGAAATTATATTAGGTAAATTAGATTTAGCTCTTTTTCCTTTTCTTTTTTCTTATCTCATGTTTTAAATTCTTCTGTTTACTACTATAGAGAAGAGCAACTAAGATGATCAAAGGCCTGGAGATTAAAACATATGAAGAACAGCTGAGGGACTTTGGGTTTGACTAATCTAAAGAAAAGAAGAAATAGAGGTGACATGATAGAAGTATTCCAGTATTTGAGAGGCTGCCACAAAGAAGAGGGGGTCACGTTATTCACCAAAGCACCAGAGGGAAGGATAGAAACTGATCAAAGAGAAAAGCAACCTGGAATTAAGGAGAAACTTCCTGACAGTGAGGACAATTAACCAGTGGAACAACTTATCCCCAGAGATCGTGGGCACTCCATCACAGGAGATTTTTAAGAAGAAACTGGACAGCCACTTGTCTGAGGTAGTATAGGTTCTCCTGCTTCAGCGGGGGGCTGGACTAGAAGACCTCCAAGGTCCCTTCCAGCTTCTATTCTATTCTATTCTATTCTATTCTATTCTATTCTATTCTACTTCTACTTCTACTTCTATGCATAATATAATTTATCTTGAAAGGTGATCATATAAACTCTCTCTCTCTCTCTCTCTCTCTCTCTCTCTCTCTCTCTCTCTATATATATATATATATATATATATATATATATATATATATATATATATATATGCATGGAAAGGAGAATAATGGTACACTTAGCTAAAGGAAACAAAGAGCAACTAAAATTTTATTTTGTATTTTATGTATGCTTTGTTATTGCTGAATTTATTAAAAGAACATTATTTTTAAATTACAACTACAATGTATTAACAACATAAAACATAATAATCTGTTTCTGTGTTGCTGAAAGACAATATGCCAAGTTTAATATTATAATATACTTACATCAGAAGTACCAATGCCATCCTATCTGATACTTCAATCCAGACAGCATTAGAAGACTGCAAAGAAACATAGAAAACTCTAATTATTTATTAAAATCCTGTGGCTGATAGAAGTTTTGTATCTCAGATGGTAGTTCTGAGTAGTACCAACTATAAATTTCAAGACTACCCATAAGCTTAACCACAGTTATCAAAACCATTTTTATAACTGACAAAATGATCTAGTGATAAGAAATATTTCATTGTCTCCTGCTGCTGCATACATATTGTAGTGGTATTAAATGTCCAATCAACACACATCCTATTACTCTAATATTATAATGCTTGGTTGAAGAATGAAATAAAAAATGGGATGAGAAAAATGCATTTAAGAATGATTGCTGCAAAAAATTAACTTAAAAATTAAATGAAAGTTATTTGACAGTGCAGCTGGCCTGTTAATGCAGATCATAAAGCAATTTTACTAAGGAATTGCTAATCAATATAGGCAGTGAAGTCAAGTCATTATAATTTACTCTTCATCAGTTCTAATCTCCCAAACTTTACAATCAAGTGATCCTTTCAAATTCACTTAAGTTAGAACTAATTCATTTATATTCCTTCCATATCAGTGAATTCATTGCAAAGAATTAGATTTCTAGCATAAAAAAAATTCTCAGAGGAACCTGTCTTCCTGATTTATAAAATATAGTATTCTAAAAATATATATAAATCACATGTCATAGAAGACTCAAACTTTAAGAATCATTTGCCGTCTCAAAGAATCATTATTGTAAGACTTGGAACAACAAAAAGGAGCAGCATTATTTCACAGTTAGGGATGCTACATCAAGCACTATACTTGGATAGAATGCAATCAATGACCAAATAATCTAAATTAGACTACTTTATGAATAACTCTTCAACATGATGATCATCAAAATTTATTCTCTAACCACTGATGCAGAAGGAGTGGAGGCTAGTGAGATTTATGGTCAAGTTTGATTTGAAATTGAAAGAATATGCAAGCAAGCTCTCAGCCCCCCTAGGTAAACCAGGCAGGAAACACCACAAGATGAGCTAATTCTACTTTATCATAAGGCTATAGTAACAGAATCTTCCAAGTCTGAAGGCACAATCTTGCCCCCTCCACTTTTAACTGTTTGATCCATTAGAGTGTGTCTTTCCTAAGTTTATTTTTTATGACTTTAAATAACCATGGGCTCCTGCTTTTCTTCTTGGATTGTTTCCCAGGCAGTATTTCTTCTCCTCCTTCCCCAAAGTCATTTATACATTACATTGTACAAGATGTGCTGCAGATGATTGGAGACTGGAATGCCAAAGTTGCATATATTAAGAAAGTAAATGTAGTTGGATTGTGCGGTCTAGGAATGAAGCAGGAGAATGAATAATCAATTTCTACCATTCCAATTATCTTTTCATAGCTAGCAATGTCTTCAAACAACTAAAACAATGCCTATATACACAGGCATCAGCAAATGGAGTACATAGAACTATACTGACTATATTATTGCTAAAGGAGTATGGAGGAACTCCATCATAGCATCAAAAAAGTGGCCAAGGGCTACTTGGAACGTATATTACAAACAGTTCAGGTGCAGGTTCCAAATTAAGTTGAAGAAGAAGAAGAAAGCCACTCAGTTTACACAATAGGATCTTGAATGTATATGAATGAATGAATGAATGAATGAATGAATGAATGAATGAATGAACGAACGAATGAATACCCACCATTTTTAACATCAGGGATCACTTTGAATCCTGAACTTTAGTTGTTATTGATGAGTGTGGAAATAGACCGTCAATGATTGTCTTCAGCAGAAGAGAACAAACTGAATGTAAGAACAAATCATGAAAATTGTGAAGAAGAGAAGAGAAGCCAAAGCCAAGAAAGACAAAAATCTCAGAAAAGAACTCTGAGTTTCAGAGAGCTGTTAGAAGAGATAAGACACAATAAAATTTGAAAAGACACTTAAATTGGAAACAGACATGGAAAAACTGTCAAAGTTTTCCAAAAGTTCTCTGAACTCCAAATAAGGTTCCAACCTCAAAATGGTATGCTAAAGGATGCCAATAGACATTAGTGACCAATTCAAAGAAGATCAAACAAAAAAGAAAAGAGTTTACTGGAATACTATACAGTAGAAATGTAAATCTCCAAGGTACCCAAGAAGATATTTCCTACTTACAAGAACTTCAAGTACGAGAATTTGAAGTTAGAGCAGCACCCTGCTCATTATCAAGTCAGAATGCTATTAGAGGGAATGGTCACAGAAATACAGCAAGCAACAGAGGAAGAATCTATGAAAATTCTAATTAGGCTAGGCCAGAAAATCTGGATAAAGACACAGTGGCCAAAAGAGTGAAAGAGGATAATTTACATACCAATACCAAAAAAAGGAGACGTCATGGAGTGTGCAAACTATTGAACAATATCTTTAATTTCACATGCTAGCAAAGTACTCCTTAGGATCAGCCAATGCAAATTAAAGCTCTATATGGAAAAAGAGATGCCAGATATTCCAGGTGGCTTTAGAAAGGCTGAGAACACATAATTGTTGGATTCTGTTCCCAATTATGGGTCATACGTTGAGGGGTATCTGTAGATTGATCATTTTATAAAGTGTTCCAGCCTCCAAAACAGACTATGGGTAAAAACATTTTGTGGAATAACATGCTTTTCAAATAGGTAATCCAGAAAGTGAAAATTATTTTAAAAACTAGAATCATGATTAGTAAGTATTTCCAGCCATCTTCCAAAAGAAAAAGTGAGTAAGACGGATGGATACCATTTCTCGTCCTTCCTGGCCTAGCTGTATTGTAGGGCTGCTAATTGAAAAACCTGATAAACATTAAAGTACTGACGTTCTGTCTCTCTCTTTCAAATATCTCTCATCTTTACGATTTGCTATTTGCATGAAAATTGGATTTTAATTTTTCATGTATTTGGAATTACATCATCATTTCCTGTCTGTGACTTGATCACATCTTGTGAAGTTTATGAAAATGTGAATCAAGACACATCCATTGAGAGATGCAGCTAACATTAGAGATCACAGAAGCTGATCATAAAAGACAGTTTAAAAAAAATCACAAAAGCAACCATATACTCTTTCCTGCTGGCTTTTGACAATCATTACTTTTTTGTAGCCTTGATTGAGCAAAAGAACAAAAACGAATACTCACTGAGTCCCAGATAGACTGCCGTATTCTTTGAATGCTGCATATAGCTTGACTACTCTCAAATTTTGCAGGCCTAATTAAAACAAGTTCTTTCCATAATTAAATCTTGCCCTTTAAAACAAAACTGAAATATAATCTGTACGGAAAACACCTTTAGCAGCGATGGAGAAGAATGCTTCCAGACAAGACTTTAATTGTACTAACATTATGCAACAAGGAAATTTAAATACGTGCAGGGGGTGTGTGTGGCAACTCCAAACAATATCTTGATTTGAAGCCGACCTTTAATTTAATCATGATTTCTTTCCTCTTATTAGAAAGGATAAAATGATGGAATTGCTGAGCTGTAGTTTTGATTGGTAGTAGCCTGAAGACTTTTCCTTTCCATCAACTTTAAACTTGCCCACACACATGCACTCACACACACACACACACACACACACACACACACACACACTGGTCTCCTGTTGTTACTCATACCCTTTCAGTTCAAATCTCCAACAGGTATCCTAAAACCTCAGGACATGATGCAAACCAGCCTCTTTCTGACAAATGCTTGGACTGGCATCAGCACTATTCTCTGTTGTCCATGAAGCCCAGAGTATTGGAAGATGAATATTTTACATTTTATGACCTTTCTCAGTTAATTATTTAAAAGCAAGACATTAAAACTTTCCTAGGAAGTCCAAAGAACCAGGGCAATTAATTGTAATCGTAGCGGCAGGCTGGCCTGGAAACATTCTTCAGTTGCCCCACTTGTTATGTGGGATGATGAAATGTTGCAAGAACCGAACATGCAGGACACAAAAGACTCTGCAAATTGATGAGGGATGGATGAGGAAGCAGAACGTGGAGATCCACTCTTTTAAAGATTATCTGAGGCCAGATAAAATTGGTTTAATGAGGAGCCTAGCTAGAGAGGAGCTATTCAAAGACAATGTAGGTGTCTTTGACCTCAGTTGTAGGTGTTACACAGCTCCTGCTTCAAGAACCACAGAAGGCCCCTCTGCCTTTTACCAATAGCCTGATATGCGTAAATAAAATAAGTGAAAGTCTCCATTCATAGTTGCATAATCCTTCTTTCTGCTGCTTCTTTCAGCTGGCTTCTAAGAATATGGGGTTAATTGAGTTTGTTGCCCACTTGGTTTAAACTCTTTTCCTCTGCCTTTAACGATAGTTAAAGGTTTACAGATTTTTGCACAGATATTAACTTCTTGTGACCATACAATTACTGCTACTTTAAAACATTGACTTGGTAATTTCTTCACTTTGGCGGCACCAAGTAACAAAAATGATTTAAAAATGTAAGCTGGCCATCTTACTCAACCGTTGTTATGTCCTCTGAACCAAACATTCAGATTACACTTGGACTATTGTATCTGGGCTCTAAAATCCAAAGGAGTGTTAGATTGCATCAAAGAGATTTAGAAATCTCTTGTTTTATTTTTCCAGATCAGAATAGACAATCCTACCAAAAGCGGGAAACAATTCATTTGGCATTGTTTCATACTTTGTGGCTTTGTAATGCCTCGTGGTCTTATACAGGTAGTCCTCGACTTACATCATTTCATTTAGTGACTGTTCAAAGTTACATCAGCACTGAGAAAAGTGACATATGACCATTTTTCACACTTATGATCATTGCAGCATTCCCCGTGGTCATGTGATTTATATCTGAATGCTTGACAACTGACTCACATTTATGACGGTTGCAGCGTCATAGGGTGGTGTGATCCCCTTTTGCGACCTTCTGACAAGCAAAGTCAGTGGAGAGGCCAGATTCACTTAACAACTGTGTTACTAATTTCACAAGTGCAGTGATTCAGTTAACAAATGTGACAAGAGAAGTCATAAAATGGGGCAAACTTAACAAATTTCTCACCTAGCAACATAAATTGGGCTCAATTGTGGTCATAAGCTGAGGACTACCGATAATACCTTCCAATGTTAATAAAGGGGATAGAGAAAAATGGAGATTTGCTCCAACTCTAATTAATACAACCTGGGCAGATTCAGCAACGGATTCTGTTTGACTGTACAGCTTTTTTATGCATTTTCTTTGGTTTTGATTGATCTTTATGTTCATTCATAGAACACGATTTTTCTTTGGTCTGAGCAGTTATTCCTCTTCGCCCCTTTTTCACTGGACATCCTTTTATACCTCTGACACCAAGCTGATCTTTTGTCATCCATTCTCCACTGCAGTGGGCACAAATGTAGTGGTAGACAATGAGGTCATAGCTGATCTGCACAAGGGCCTAAGTTGAAATATGGGTAACTAGTTTATGTGCAATGAGAGTCAGTTTGTTACAGAGGTTAAGGCTCCAGGCTAGAAACCGGGAGACCATGAGTTTTAGTCCTGCCTTAGGCTTGATGTCAGCTGGGTGATTTTGGGGCCACTCCTTCTTTCTCAGCCTTAGGGAAAAAGCAGTGGCAAACAACTTCTGCAAAACCTTGCCAAAAAACTGCAGGGATTAGTTCAGGCAGTTGTCAGGGTTCACACGGACCTGCAGGCATAAACACAAGTTTATGTCCAAACCTAGAGTCCCACATCAGTGCTGCAAAATCCCAGATGACTGTTGGATGGTAGCAGGAATTAAGAAGCCAAGTGCAATCTTTTCCTTTTTGTTGACATAGCTTGACCTAAACTGAAATGTGACCTTCTTTTTGGCTACAGGTAACGGTATCCAATCTGCCCTGGAAAAATCCACATATCTTTGCTGCTCTCATGTATTTATCCTGATTTTGCAGTGCAGAATGCGGATCCTTTGCTAGCTCAACCAATGTGTTAGTTCATTTTGTCTTCTGATATACTTAAATTAATTGAGTAAACCATGATTGAGCAAATAAGATATGAAACACCATAATATACGAACAACAGAACCCAAGTTTTTTCCATTTCATACATCACTATATAACTAGGATATTGGATCTCCCAATACAGTGAAAGGGAAACAATTCTTCCTTTTCTTTTTAGAATTATCAACCTCTCAGATGGACCCTCTCACAGCAGCTTGGTTTGGAGCAATCAGTAAGCAATAATCTTGAACTCTGTACCATAAAATACTTGATCTGCCAGTTTCTGTATCTCAAAATCTTCATTATATGATACAGAACTAGGACAGATTTGTTCATTGCTAGCATGTCTTACCACTTCCACCAGCTCTCTTATTCTTCATGCCAAGTTCCATCCCAATGAAAGTAAGGAATTAAGGTCTTTGCCTTGGGCCCAAAAGAACAGGGTATGGTCAAAGTTTCTGTCTAGAAACCTAGGTATGGAGGGGAAAAGTCATAGTCTGCAATCGTCCATACACAGACAGGATCTGCGGCTAGATTTCAATGCCTCCCTAGACTAAAAGTCATTCTTGTCATTCATAGCTCAGTGTTTCCAGAAGCTAGCCACTATGTTAATAAATCAGTGACATTTGAGCACCTAAGCATTGCATTAATTGAGTAAACACTGGTTCTGTTAAACTCTGATCCTATCAGTTGGTGTGTATGGCATGCAAGCATAGTTTATTATGTAGAAATTTATGGTCAACTCCTGTAGCTTTTGCTGGCAGGTGTTAAACAGTATTATTTCTAGCACAATGAATAACTCTGGGTAAAGTAAATTCATAGGTTACAAGATCCTCTATTTACTTATTAATAAGCTAATAAAAGGCAAATTTCCACTCACCCTGCACCTGTATTTGGTTGTTAAAATCCAAAAGTAGCAAAGAGGCTCAGAAAATTCTAATTCTGCCCCTCTTTAAGGATTCACTGGATTGAAGCAGCCCAAAACTGGGTAGCAGAACATGGGTCTGAACAAGATGTTTTTCAAGGTTTCTTTCATACTTATAATTATGAGCTAAGAGTTTACCTCTGACTGCCAGAAATCGGGGACAAGCATTAAAGTTTGCTGTGTAGCAGCCTGACTTGTAGCAGGCAAATAAGCCCTCTTTAGGAAATTGATTATTAAACTGACAATCTGAAATGAAACCTAGGAATCTGAATGAAGATTCTTGCTGCATGGCTGGGCAGGATGAAGATATACTGAAATTCCAAGGTTCCAGACTATAAAAGATAAAAAGAAAAATGTATAGCGGTAATGGAGTAGGTAATGAAAAATAAATAAATAATTAAATAACACCATTTAATCTATATGTAGAATTCATCTGTATCTATGAATAGATGAAGATCACCTAAAGAAAATATGCAGTTTTATTTTTCTTATACTTACCTTATATATTTAAGGTTTCTTAATAACATATTTCAAAGACTCAATTTTAAAAAAAACACAAGAGCAGTAACAAAAATCAGAACTAAGCTGACAGAAATTCCAAAGTAACTTGCAATAAAATTAATTCTAATACTCAGAGCATTTATATTGCTATAATGATACACTGCCCAGCATCCCTCTTTGAAGGAGATAGGTAGTTTAGAAATGTAAAAAATAAATAAATAAAATAAATAAGTGAACTTTGTATAGTCTTAAAAGAAAATATCTTGTGACTTCTTACTTAGAAAGTAAGAAATGCTAGTCTTTCAATGCCAAGAAAAATGAGAATACGACATAGATAAGTAGTTAATTTTTAAAAAGCAGCTACATTAATCATATAGCTGCTCTTCATACATTTCATTACATTTAAAGGAACATAACTGTTGATTATCAAAATACCAGCTACATTTTTTTCATATACTATGCCAGTGATGGCAAACCTTTTAGAGACCAAGTGCCCAAACTGCAACCCAAAACCCACTTATGCATGGTCGGGTGCCGAATGGGTGTGGCCCATTGGCTGGGTGTGGCCAATTGGCTGGGTGTGGCCTACTGCTGGATGTGGCTGTGGTGGTAATGCAGACTGGGTAGAACTAAAAAGTTCAATCAATCAATTCCAACTTTGCAAGATCTTTTTTTTTCCCGCAAGAAGTTGAAATTGACTGATTGATTGAACCTTTTTTTTTTTGCACATGGCAGTGGAGGCCTAAAGTGAAAAGGTTTTATAAAACCCAGCTGAAGGCCTAGGACTGGGGCAACAGCGCGCATGCCCACAGAGAGGGCTCTGAGTGCCGCCTCTGGCACCTGTGCCATAGGTTCGCCACCACTGTACTATGCACTTAATATTTAATACATTGCAACTTTTCTTGCAATGACTTTTGTCCCCAGAGAACTTGATAACTCATCGTTCTGTTACCCACAACAGAAAAACAGTAACTGGTAGGACCAGTCAGTGAGGGACACACAATGCACAGGCTTCTCTTCTGTTCCATTTTGTGGAATCTTCCAGGGCTGGGCAAGGTAGAATTTTTAGAGTTTTGGGATGGGTGGAAAAAAATGGCAAGGAGGGGATTGAGAGAGATAACTTGGTGCTGAAGGAACTTGTGAATAGGTTGGTAAGCATATTCCCCTG